AGAGAGAGATGTTAACGGTAACTGGAAGAAGTACTACTGATTTTGTTAAATTTGTAGACGCTTTTATGCTTGAGAGCGGAATATTTTGGAAACCTTGGAAGACAACTTTCTCAGCTCTAAGATTTTCTAAAACAGCAAATAATTTGATTAAATGAAAAAATACAGAAGAATTCCTCGGTGGATATTGGATATTAAATTTACATAAATTTTCAAAAAATAGAAAAAACACATTGTTAATGTAGTACCGTGGTACTTCAAAAACAATCCACAGACATATTGATTTGACCGTCGATCAATAGTTGGTATCTCCAAACATTATTTAAACTTAGAACTGTAAAGAACTCGTTTGATAATGGCAGAAAGCTTTATCATTGTGATATGAAGCTACAAATGTTTTCTCATCAAAAACTAAAACAAATGTAGCGGAATCAAAAATGGCATGACAAACGATGGTGGCCCAAAAATTCCAGTTTTTGACAAGGATGGACAGGTTGCTTGCTAGAGCTACTATTCTCACTGCGGTAATTTTCGCATACTTGATTAGAAAATTTGCAAAACCAGATTTTCGAATGGCATTGGATAGAGAAAAAAGCCTGTGCGAGAAGAATAGAAGTAAATAAACGATTACAATCGGTAAAGGTACTGAGTCCTATAGAAAAATTACCAATATTCATTAATGAAGTCGCATACAGATACCGGTGAACAGTGACAATGCATTTCATTTTGAGGAATAAAATGAATCGATTGGTGTGTCAATAAGAAAAGATTGGCACGAAAAGCCGGTTAAGATAATTCTTGGAAAAGTAGAAAGTGCAAGCAAAACATGAGAACAATGGTTCAAAAGATCGGTGACCTAATTTTAATAGGATTCCAGGTGGCTTCCAAGAAAACACTAAGAAAGCATTTGCACCACACGCAAAGTTATAAAGGAGCTTTTTATAAAATGACGTATTTCCGTATCTAATGTTTTATGATTAATTTGTGATATGATATCAGTAAACATTTTAATCACACGATATACACAAAATGAAATGATCAAATAAATTCTGCTAAGCCATTGTCTACAACATGAATTGTAGAAATTCTGAATGTTTGCTTATATATAGATGAGTAAATTGTCTGTTTTTGCTGATAATATAGTTTACTATCGGTAGATTAGTTTCTAGTTGCGCAATGAATAGGAATTGTAATATGATATATTATTCGGATAATTAATTTGTCTTAATTAACTGACAAAAACTTCTGTCACTTGATAAAAATTATTTAAATTTAGTAGGTGACATACTTGTACATTCACAATCTATACAGAGATCATGTGTAACACATACAATACATTCCAATGTTGATTAATTTTTAAAATGTGAATATAATGCTTTGTCATCGCACTTACACTTACAGATTATAATCCTCCCATTGTTATTGGGGTCGATTTAATAATGTTACTGAGATAATGAATAGATGAATAGTACAGAATATATGAATCCTCGGATAATTTAGTGATCAGATCAAATTAAATGATTAGGGAAGGGTAATGATTAAAGAAAAGTACGAAGTTACATTTTATGCCAAGACTCGAGAAGTGTGATGTTGTTGAAAAGGATTTCGTTTTTCTTTATTTTTTTACTTTTTTTCACTGAAGCAATTAAACGCTGCTTAGTGCTGCATACAGCCAACAGCTATATACATTAGTTGAATGAATAGTTAGATAGATGGACGATCGGACAGATGGACGGGCGAATGGATGGACGGACGGACGGACGGATAGATAGATGGGATGAATGGATGGATGATATGGATGAAATGGAAGGAAATGAATTGAACAAGTAAATGAAAATTCCTGGATTTATTGAAGCTTTTTATAACTTTCTGAAATCGAAAAAAATAGCTCGAGACTTTTTCCGGTTATTCGCAGAGAATCGCTTGCTATACGACTTCCTTGCGGAATACTTTCGGCGTTTGCGTGTTTACACACACACACCACACACATGTGCACACACACACACACACACTCACATACAGATACACACACACACACACATTTATATTATGAAGGTAAGCGAACATACACAATATCCCGGTATCTTGCACCAAACAGCCGTCCCAATTGTATCGCGGCGAAGTGTATACTTAAGTTTGGAAGCTCGAAAGAAGTGAAGTGAAATGAGAAACTATACAGAAATTAAGTTGAATAAATCATCAAATGGTTGAAGAGAAATTCTCAATTACGTGGATAGCAAGTTGAGACAATTGTGGGGAGCAGTCAAATTCGTGCTTTGATTTTAATTATTTAAAATAGTGGAATGTCCTAAAGAAGGATATCCAACTGTTTTAAATAATTGAATCTTTTAGCATTAATAGATCGATGTATCATGCAAATAGTTGATAACCTACCATTCTCGTTTATATTGTACTGAATATTTGATCCACTATCCCATAACAGGAACTATTTTGTCCTGTACAATCACTCACTCAACTTTATTCACATTTCAGACGACAAAAATATGTTTCGGTATTACTGAAAATAAGATTCAATTGATGAGAATCATATTTGAAATTTAAAATAAAAAATAAACTCACATTTTCTAAAACATTTTATGAGTTGAAATTTAATGAAATTCAATTAAAAAAGTCATTGTTAATTAAGTAAACACATAAAGTGTTATTACTATAAGTAGTTTTTCTACATATAAAATAACTAAATAAAATGAAATTAAATGCCATTTTTCTTTTTTATAATAATAAAAATTTGTTGGAAAGAACAACGAATGTAATTGTGGTACCATTAGAGAAAAAGAATTGTTCAAATATGCTGACAATAGAAAATTAATGAAATTCCATCAGACAGAGTTGTATTTTATAACAAAATCTTCCCTCTCTCTCTCTCACTCTTTCTCCCTTTCGTCATCTGCATTAGCTTCTCTCACCATCACTCTTCAAGCAAAGTTCAATCTTTATATTTTACAATATATACAACATTAGTATTGACTTTATGTGAACGAAATGTTCTTCCTCTAATTTTAATATTTATTAGATATTTCAGGTTCAAACTCACCCTTCATTGCACTCATAAGTTTCAAAAGTTAAAAGGAATGACAATCTTGAAGGTTGTAAGAGATTGTGGCCATTATTTATTTACGTCAACTAATATAATGTTTTGCACTTAGGGTCAAAGGTTGCAAAAACATCACTACTGATTTTGCACAGCGGATAATGACAAAATATTGCCTTTGTTAAGGTCTGCAGTCACTACTACTGAGTGGATAAATATATTTAGCTTCGATGTTATTCCACGGACGAAATGAAAGATAGTTGTGGAGATGTGATGATCGCTAATTAATGAAGTTCTCATTAACAAAAAGTTGATTACAAATTTGTGCATAAATAACTGAAAGAAAGATAAAATGTAATTTTTTTGAAGATGTGATGGATGAGATAATACAAACGCAATTATATATGCATATATTTTAGTTTTAAAATGAGGAACGACATGACATCAACGAAAGAAATGAAAGAATGGTTACATACATTTGTTTATTTAATTCTTTTAAATAAATAAATAAACATTATATATATATATATATATATATATATATATATATATATATATATATATATATATATATATATATATATATATATATATAT